AATAAAGAAATTATATAATTAACACAAAATTAGTACACTATAGTTTATTGGTTTGTCTCGTTGGACGTTTATGAGAGGAATACAGGATGGGTCTATCGGTACAGAGTGCCTTTTTTACCATTGCCTCCTCTCAAGGTCTCTACGAGAGATGTGAATGAATCTAGAACCTGTTCCCCTCTGCAGCTTCTTTTTCAAGTCAGGATGCAACCAATAGGCTCGTTGAAAGCTGCTTCAGAAATTGTCCTCTGCCAGACGATGTTTAGATGACTCGAGCAATCAGCGTGAATTTTTACCTTAATCCTGAATAAAAAAGAATAATTTATCAGATCAAACAACCCACGAAGTGTCAGAAACAGAATTTAATCAATTTTTCTTTAGTGAAAAAAAAAAAAAATTAAAGCTACCCAAAATTGGATATCACAGGTAAATGATCAGCGATCAAAAATCGAAGTGATTGCAAAATTTCAGATTGTCGATTTCTCGTTTATGACATACGGCCCTGAGCATATACACGCGTTATCTTCGGCCACTAATCTAAAATGTTTCAACGTGGGCTGCGTGGGTATGGACGAACATCGCCGCTTTAGAAACACCTCGAATGCCTACGCCTTTCACACATGTGGTCAGACATCGGGAATCAAAGGATCTCGGGTGATTTTAACCGGTACATTTGCGTAACACAGGTAAATCTACCGGTACAGGCACCTGGAAATCAATTACAGAGGGTTACAGGATAAATAAGAAGAAATTTGAGCTCAGAGGAGGAATTAAATGGTTAAAGTTTTTCCCTTAATTTCCCTAAAAATGAGAGACCTAATTAGCCTGATCGTTTATTAATTTACGAGAAGTATCATGTCACGATGTCCCCTTCACCCGACTACTGAATACTCAATGTCAATGGCTACTAAATTTATTCTAATTTATTCGACCACGATACCAGAATCGTGACTTAACGTGTACCTTTCTCGTTCTCGACCTTCCTTCATTTTTCTTAAAGAAATTAATCGTGTTCGCGCAAAGGTAGACGGGATTTTCCAAAATAGCAAGGTTAACGTGCCACCCACTGATCATGGGAACTTACGAAATCAAAAATAGCCAAGGTTTAAAAAATTATAATTTTTTATGTTTAGGAGAGATAGTTCCAGTAAATTCATCTAACTCACAGCAAACTCTAATTATCATCAACTGTAATTACATGAATTTCTAAATTTTCGTTGTCTTAAAGTTTACGGGATTTCCAAAGAGCCCTGCCTGGCTAATCCAGGATGAGTCCTTGTCCCTAGAATTTTCACCAAGGGTCTCTCAGGTACTAGAATTTCCAACACTTACCGTTTACCTCATTTATGATTCTATTTTTCCTCTAAAGCAAAGGAAACAGTAATATTCCTAAAAATAGAAATTTAATATTCCTCTCCCCATAATTTTGCCAGTCAAGCGCGCAAGTTCGTTGGACAGCAATTTCTTGTTAGCCTTATAAACAATAATTAACAGGTTACAACTGAAAGGTGTCTAGTCAGAGGGGACAGCAAAGGACAGGTGAGGAGTCTCATCAACTGCAATGCGTCCAACTGGCGTACACCTTTTGCTCGGTACATTCGCGTTTCAGCTGCGTGGAAAACTGGAAATTAATTGTGGTATCTAAGTGTCCTCAACCGGAAATAGGTATGTATCGTGTGAACCGACAAAGTGTTCCCAAACGATTACTGTTTACCGGTTAAAACGAACTGTTCAACTGTTACGATATCGTAAGTTGCAAATTTTCAGAAAAGGCAAGACAGCTTTTTGAATTGCGTAACATAGCAAGCACGTTTGGTTGGAAAGTTTCAATCATACGACGAGTATATTACAGGATCTGACATTTGGAAATTCCAAAGGGCAGAATTTCGGCGTCACGAGGACTCAGGTATAATTCTTTTCAGAATCGTAACCCTAAATATCTCTGGTTAAATTACCGTCAGGCTAATTTGCCGAACCGTTTCGCAATGTAATGTGCCACGACTCGTTACCAAAATTGGCGAGCCACGTTGTCTGATTGCTCGAGTTGAAAGGTTTATCGTGCACCGTTGATGGTCTTTTACAACTTCGCCACGAACGAAAAGCAAATCGCTGCTTAATTCCAATGATAATTCAATTCTATAATAACAAACGAAATTTTTACGAGGCCTCTTAATTTCATTTCTTCCACTGTTAATTAGTATTTATGAGCCTATATTTTATGTACATCTACGTGCAGTCGTTTATTGCAAATGGTAACTAGTGTCATTTAACGGTCCCCTTATAGGAATACACCTACTCGAGGCTTATATAGCCTCCAGCTTCAATGAGATTATAAGTTCATTAGATCTAAGACACACATAATCAAAAGCTATTAGAGTGTAATTGAGTGTTATGACTTTTTTTGAGATTTTAAATAAACGTGCAACTGTAAGATTAAAAAACTAAAACTTTGAAATATGAGTTCATAGAATAGCAATCAATTCTTGTACGACACAACAGTTCAACCCTTCGAGCAACTAGCAACGAACTTCCATTCATCCATAACAATGCTAAATATAACCAATCGTTATACGCTTCAGTGGATCTTTATATTCTCCACAAAGATGGCGTCGAGACGCCTCGGGCGCCTTTTGGAAGTCATCAAGCTTTGTCCTTGTCTTCCTGCCAGTTAATGGCTCCTCTATCCCATTACGCCCTCTGGTATTGCTTATTTTTCTTCCTAGACACAAAATAAAAGGCGTTGATTAAGAATTTCTCATTTTCTAATTAATCACCCATAAACAGATAACACATGATTTTCCATAGATATTCTTTGTCTTTAAGTATTTAAAATAATAAAATTTGTTAAAAATATAACATTTTTACGAGAGTAATATAGAAACCTCTTAGAGAGCAGGAAGTGGAAGTCAATGGTATAACGTGTTCCATAAGGCGCCGGGGGCGTCGCGTCTCTAGGAAATTCCGGTTGTAAAATGAGGTGGATATTGCCTCTAGGCCCCCCTATATTTAGATTCAATTTGCTCGTCCTGCCGAAAAATTGAAATTTTAATCCAATTCCATAACTGCTCAAAATGGCCACCTTTCTACCGAGCATCGATGCGTGTACTTTGTTCGACGGAGTCGCGAGACCGGAAGAGAGGACGTTAGGACAGGTCCTTTTAATTGGGACCTCCAGGGGCCCAGGATGGTCGCACGTGCCATATGCAACGTCTTCGAGGGGCCTCCTGCGGACATCATTGTCCTGGATAGTCCTACAGAAGGCACTGAACCGTGAAAATTTAATGTCCAGTTCCTTCGTGGGGCCAAAGAGGAGTGTACTGTTACCACGCAAGATGGCGGAAGTCGGATATTCAGGCCTGTTCGATGAAGCAGCTGGTTGGATCCGTGGGTGGTCTCCGTGTTGTCCCTTTGCTCTATAAAACTTGAAGAGTTACATCCAGGTGTAGATTAGAGTAGAATCTTAACTATGCTTTTAATTATGTTAAACACTGATGTTGATACTGACGAGAATAAACAATTTCACGAGCAAGAGATACTATTTAGATAAGGATGATGGAGGAAAATAGTGTAGGGAGATTGAAGGAGATTGCTGGGAGATAGATACGTAGTCTGCCATTTTATTTTATGTGCAACACTGTAATCTATGGAATAGCCACTTCCTGCTGCAATTGATTCCAGCAGAGGCTAAAATCAAAACAAATTTGTCTCTTCTCGGTTGTTCCATTGTCTGAAGGAATCCAGCCTACAAGGTTTACAAACTATCTCTTTGTCTGTCGTCTTACCTTGGCAAGGTAGCGGTCCTTATCCCAGGATCAAGTGCACGTCGCGTGAAACGACAGGGAGGGAAGATTCTTCTGCAAGGTATTCTACAGTAAATTTTATTGTTCGAAGACAGGGACGAGCCAGGTTGGATAAATAAAAATCTTATCGCTGCTTGTACCATTTGTCCATTCTAAAAATTCGATCAAAACATGTGAAAAAAGTAAAATGATTTTTTAAATAATTTCTGCTTCAAAAATAAACAGAAGTCAGTGGCTAAGGAGGAGAAACGAGTTGCCATTCCCACGGCAAGATGCTGCGACCACTTTCGCTATTATCCAACATTATCCAACGGATTGCGAAACGTATAATGGGTTCGTGTCGGAGATATTTTCAATCGAATCTTCTTGAGTTATTGTACAACTAGAGGAATTTCGTCGACTATCGTTTCACTAATTCAGTTAGAAAGTGTGCATCTTAATAAATAGCCTTTAATTAGAATATAACATGAGACTCTGACAATGAGATTCAAATCTTCACTTGGTACTATTTTGGAAAATTCAGTATTTTTCTGAAATAAAATAAAATCAATCCTCATTTATTGTTTTATATATCTATTTCACCTGCGTCCCTAGAAACAAGAAGAATTTATGCTACTCATAAACAGTAATGGCATGCACCTGAAGGGAACGTTGTTCTTCCAACACCTGTTCTCTACACCTGATGTCGTACTTTGTATATCCCTGTATCTCTTATAACCCTATACCCTCATCTTATATCTCTCTATCCCTTATATCCCTGCGTCCCGTTATCTCTTTAGATTGACGCGTTAGGTGAACATAAAACCTATCTTTATAAATTAGCCGCTTCGCGCTGAAACGCGTCAGTCAGTCTTTGGACGTGGTAAAAAGAGGAGGATGTATTCTCATTTTTGGTCGCAGCGTTATCTATACAAAAACGGTGGAAACTACTCAACGAGTTACCGATTGACTTTCCGAAACAGGGGAACAGTAGTGCTTTCTATTGGGAAAACAGTGGAAGCTATTTGTTAAGACGATGCAAGCGTCGAGGCTGAACTCCGAATTCCGCATCGGTAAAACAGGCCATGTTTGATCGAAAATTAAGCTGAACAGAAACTGATTTAAGCGTCACCTGAATTATTGCATCCAACTAACGGCATGCTATACTACGTTACCGGTATTTTGGTGAATTGGTAGGCAACAAATAAAGAGAGAAATTGTTGGTTAGATTTCAAATGACATTTAATGGTATTTAATAAGTAAAGCATGTGCTTTAAATAATCTTTTATTTAGCATCGTCTGTACTCTGAGATTTTCATTTTTAGTTTGTATATAATATATCATAAACTGGTTTTGGAAGATAATCACTACACAAAGCTTGTATTTTTTCTTTACGTGAAACTGGTGCATACCTTCTCATTGGAAAAGTTTTCATCACCCCATCTGTTAAGGCTCTGGTTACTGGGGTTAAATCAGCTTCTACTCCTTGTGTATATTTTTCAAGAGCTAACATTTCTTTTTGAAATAGTTCTTCTCCATATTCCTTGCGGGTTTGGGGATCTAATTGAGTCCACATTTCTCTAGCTTGTTCTAATAATGCACTGTTATCTTTTAACCATGCATTTCCAGATACATATTCACTGGTCTCAACAATAACCACATCCACACCCCATCTTCTCATTTCTAATCTAAGACAAGCTCCCCAAGCTTCAACTGCAGCCTAATATATGTATGTATAATATTTCATTATAAATATAATAAAATGGATAATATAGATTTTAGGAAATTACCTTAACTGCACAATAAATACCCCGAACAGGACTTGGTATTCGAGCTAGAAGGCTGCTGACCAATACAACACGACCTTTTGATCTTCTGATTAGAGGTAAAAAAACCTTTAAACAGAAATTATTTCATATATTTGGGTAATTATTAATATAGCTGTATATAATAATGAATAACTTTAATAGTACTGTAGTATGATTACTTGAGTTAAGCGAGCAAGGCCGATGAAATTAATGTCTATGCTACGTTTTAATATGGAAGGGGGTACCCATTCACATTCACCTAGAGTTACCCAAGCAGCAGCATGGACTAATGCCCATAGACCTAATACAAACAATTATAATGAAATTTAAGAATATTGATTTGATATTTAATATTGAAAAGTAAATAAAATATTAAACCTGGTGCACCATCTGGCAAATTTTCATTCACATAAAGAAAAGTTGAGTGGATATCATGTTCACTAGTTATGTCCAGTTGCAATACATGTAATCTGCCAGAAGCTTCTTGCTTTAATTTTTGCATTGCTTCATCTTCATTTTTGGTGTTAAATCCCGCGAAAACGGTAAATCCCTTTAAATATCAATTTATAGGTATGTATAAAAATAGGAATATAATAGAAATAAGTGATGGTAATTGTGGTAACTATTAAACTTTTCTTACCAATTCATCTAATTGTTTACTCAAAGTATATCCAACTCTTGAATCACATCCTGTAATGAGAACTGCTTTCCCTGCAGCAGTTACCTGTGAAACACACACCATAAGTATGTTAGTTATAATTATTGAACACAGGTGTTAATATATAATTTTAATATAGATTAATAAACATTCATAACTTTTGTAATTTTGTCTTACCTTCAGATTGTGATAAAACAATGTAGACCCTATGGATATAACTAATAACAATAGAAAAAGCACAAAACTAGATGTTTGTGATATATTTAATGTATTTAAAACAGTTGCTAAAATGACTGCGATTGCATGTGAAAATGCAATTGGAAGAAGACATCTTTCTGCTAATTCCCATGTTTGACTGTCATCTGGTTCTTTATTTCCACTTGGTAAAGGCATCTCCGGTTTAATTTTATTAATATTTTAAATAAATTTAATCGGATCCATTCAAACTTGTGGCTCAGCTAAGAGCCCTAACTGGGCTAACTCTGAGCTAACTTTAAACTTAAAGTAGTATCTAGTCTCATTGATCTAAATTTAACCACAGTGCTGTGTCTTAAATGCACAGATCCTAGTAAAATTATATTCTGTCTTATTAACATTATTATTTAAAAAATTTTTTCTTAAATAAAATTAATTTTATTTAACTATGTAATATATGTTTTTAATTGCTATTTCATAGTAATGTATAAGTACCATACTTATTAGCAGATGCTAATACCATTTGTATCAATTTAATTTTTTACTTATTGTATATATAATACACATATTTTTAAATAAGCAATAACATTGATTGATTTCTTTATGAAAAGCATTTTTCCACCTATTTTTATATTTATACTCAAAATTACATTTTATTATATGCATTCATGGTTCTGAAAATAAATGATTAAATATTATAATTAAAGTAGGTCATCGACATATAAAATTTGAAAATAAATTAATTAACCTGTTCATAGAAATTTATAGTGTTCAATATTTATTCAGAGAATGATCGGTCTACTAATGTAAACAATTCATCTGTCGTTAACGAAAAAAAAGATGAATACCAGAGTGGGGTAGGTTATTGATTTCTGTGTGGGTGCCATGTTGGGAGGAAATACCATGGAGGGTGTCTCTCGGACATACCATACGCAGTAGTCTACAGAGAATATAAATAGGAGAGGTAGTTGCACCATTGACCCAGTGTTGAGTTGACATACGGTCAGTTCAGTCACTCAGTCGTAACTTATCTTACGCTTTTCAAGTTTTTTATCTGTGTATGTGAATTATTAATAATCTTAGTAAGACCCTTATGAAACCAACAATCCAATGCAATCCAAAACACTGCCCTTACTTACTTACGTTTTAATTGTACAACTTTATATCCGAATTACCGGCATGTATTTAGTGTTTTAAGTATCGCTGCAAACGTTTTTCTAACAAACATTAGGTAAATACTTCTGACAGTTGTTACTTGTGTAAATGAAATATCTGATACGATTTCATTTATCGGTAACATTAATAAAGTAATGTGCAACGATAATCAGGCCTTAGTAGCGGTCAATTCTTTTGAAGAAAGTAAACTTTTGATGGCATAATTTCATACGTTTGATCGATATTTGATCGAACTAGAAAAGTACAAAACTAAACGGACTTCTTTGGGAGCAGTTTTTAGATTGCTTTCTTAGTTGTTATCTAAAGCAATATGTCAGAAACAGCGGGTATATCGCAAGGATTAGGAAATCCTTACAAAATTGTTGACCATGCCAGAGAAAAACGAAAGGGAATCACAGCTTCTTCCCTAAAAGAATTAACTAGTATTGCAAGGAGTCGCTTGTCTTTGCCTTTGGATGCAGAACTTACAATTGTTCTAGAACAAGATGGTAAGGCTAACTTTAATTTCATTTGATTTAAATAAATATAATGTATGCTCACTGTTAATTTTTCAATAGTTTTTATTTATATTTCTTTTATTAAATATTAAAGTGTGTCATTTTTATACTAGGAACGGAAGTAGACGATGAAGAATACTTTGCAACACTAGAAAGAAACACCAGTTTAATGGTTCTCTATGGAGAACAAAAGTGGGTAGCAGCAGGAAGCAGTAAAGCTGCTTCTCGTTATATTGTTGTTGATGATGTAGATAATATAGAAGGTGGACAAAGAGATGAAGTTAGAAGACGTCGGCCTCCAATAGAGCCATTAGTTTCATCATTGCATGGTGATCCATCTCATATATCATTACTTGGTGGAAATGATTTAGAATTACTTAGCGATATGGACCCAGACAGCTTAGCTGATATAGTGCCTGACAGGTATATAATAAATAAATTTGAAACTTGATTTAATATTATAAAATATGTCATTATTTAATTTATATATTGTTTTAGAATCTTCTTAGAACAATTAAAAGAAGCCTCAGGCAGGTTTTTGGCCGAGAAACGACAAGCACAAGAATCAATGGCACTTCTTCAGATGTATGCAAGCAGTGGTGAGATGGAGCGAGCGTAGGCCATGTGGGGGGTGGGCGCCCTCACATTGGCTAATATGTATCGAGTGCGACGTCGCATATTTTATAAAGGTCGCCAATTACAACAAACCTTAATCCTTTTCTGGAATTGAGCCCATCATGTTTATAGCATAACAGTTTATTGTGCCATCTTTTACCATCACGTTATTCACAAAAATTGAATACTTACATTGTCCATGAAAACTTAAAAATTCTTCTATGCAGAATTTTGAGTAATGCAATGGCAAAGAGACATGTACAGAAACTAAATTTCCATCTTTCACCGATGGCTAAAAATTATTTCCGAAATGTTTGCAAGTATTTATTAAATATATGAACCTTTAAATTTATTAGCAGAAAAAAAGTGTATTAAAAGTTGATGCTTGTCCATATTATAATTTTATACAATAAGAATATCTAATTGTATTTTTTGTTAATAGTAATTTGTTTTCTAGTCTTTTTGTTTTGTACGAATCAGTGGTATATATATGCCAGTTTAATGCTGTTTTGTAGAATTTGGTATAAGGAATTGCTTCACTGCAAAATGAGGTCTTATATACATATGCATAGTTGTACACATGCAATTTAACTATTAAATAATCTAAATGTACTACATACAAAAATTATATAGGAATATCATGTCACAGAAAACATTCCGTCACGATGTTGTCATATCAGTATTACTAGAAAGACGACCTGTTTGATTTACGAAGTTTTGTATGTAGAAATATTATACCAAGCTTTAGTTCAACGAAGATTGATGAAATGTTTAAGACTGAATTTATAGAGAAAGAGTGCATCCCCATTACAATCACCAATTCATTGAACACTAAATTTAGTACTGTAGTAGATAAAAAACAATATCAGCTCTTTGATACCGAAGTTATGCGTTTGATAAAAAAAATTGCAGGAAAAAAAAGAAAATGTGCACATGTTTCTGAAAAGATTATGCATATGCAGATCAGTATTGCATCAGAATAAAATTTATGTTATTATATCCATATTTGTAAGAAAAAATTATAATATTCTAAAGTATTAACTTAATTTCAAGCAAAAGGTTTAATGCTTATGTTCATTCTTTGCAGAAACATTTTAAAGAAAACGTTGTGACACTCTTTGATATATACCTTAACATCTGTATATTATAAAATGACATTTACATTTATTGTCATTTGGATATTTAAAATGCAACGATCAGTATAGGCATATTTAATAATTAATAACATCCAAATGAGTCGGTAATTATAAATTTGTTCTGTATGTAATTTTTAATAATCTTTCTTTACAGTGTATTTGGAAGGAATAATATTTTATTTACATTTTTTTAAGACGTACTAGAAAACAATTAATATATTTAATAGAACTGCCAATTAAAGGAAAACCAATGCTCAACAATATCCTACCCATTAAATCCTCAGAGTACCACGCTTTTTTAATACCGATATTTATCACATTATATTAAGGTAATATTACTAATGTTATTATTATTAGTATTATGATTGTTATCATTATTATCTATTATATATTTGAATAATATGTAACAAAATACATTCACATAAATTAAGTTTTAATTGAATGTAAAAAATTGCTGTCTATGAGTTGCTGTAATGCATTTGAAGCATCTTTCGTTCGACTGCAGGCGATACGTAATTGACAAACAGCTTCTTGAAGAATTAATTCATTTTTTAGCAGCTGTCGATTAACAGTTGACAATTCTTGAATGGCAGTATTAACTGTTCCTTCAACCATTTGGGTAAAGTCTCTATCCAATGTTTTGTTGCATTCATCTATGTTATTATAAAGTATGTCAATTTAAATACCAAAGATATTTTCATAATTAAACATCATACATTTTTATGTATATAAAATACATAAAATAGAAAATGCTTTAAATAATTAAAATTTTAGGTAAAATAAAATAAGCCTGAATCTGATAGAAATTTATATCACATTAATTATTATGTTACTGGTAATTTTCTGTAACAAACTTATTAATTTAGGTATAGCAATGCATATTGTATTACAATAACATTAATAAAATAATGTTAAAAAGAAGAAATACTTTTATCTAAAATAAATATTTTAACTTACACAATTTTTTATGAAGTAAACTATTGTATTTTACAGAACATTTTTTTGATTTTGGTACCTCAGCATAAGGCATACAAGCCATAGCATCCACTGCATCAATGACACTGCTAAAACTTGTTCCATCTAATAAATAATAAATCAATTAGAAATTTGCAATGGTTTTACAATAATTTCATTTTCATATTTAACAACATAACTTTTGTATGCATTGAAAGTCTTACCATCATCAGATTCTGAAGCTTCACCAGAAATTATAGTACCACAATACTTAGGTGTTTGTACAGAAGGAAATCCTGTGTCCTATATAAAATATATAATATTTGTTATTTCTTATTTTATGGTATGCATAACTATAGAAATAACATACAGTAACAATGCTTCCACCATCATCATCTGATTCTGATGCTTCTCCAGAGACAACCACAGCTTTCAAATCCATGCTGAAGAAGTAAACTTAAAATTTGTGTAAGTAAAAATTACTTGTATAAGTACCTTTTTAATATTATTGAATGAAAAATGTTAGAACGTTAGAGTATCAAAAGTTATTTAAAAATTAAGAAAACTGTAAAATTTTGTTTCTTATGAAGATAAACAAAGTTTTACATTTGATTAATAAGAATAAAATTTCAAATAGAAACCAACTTAACCTATGCTTTTAATTATCACTGTGCATTCTAATAGAACTTATGTTCTAATAAAGTTATGTGTTCACATTAATGTATTATTATGTTATATTAAATGTCAACAACAAGGTAATAGAAAATAAGGATATTAACTTTTATTTCTAAATTGTGTATCAACCAATCAATTGTACTCACACCTAATACTTGGCAAGTATTTATATGTACATATATACTTGTTTGTTATATACCTAACAGGAGCTTTATAAAATGAAGATACATATAAAGAGAATTATTATTTTTTTAAATGGAAAGTTAAATTTGATTTTATTATCATACATATAATATATACAACTAAAATAAGGAATATATTTAATCAATAATTAAAGTTAGCCACGTAAAATGTCTAGTTCTTCAGGAGTAACATGCATTCTTAATTCTTTTTCTCTTATCACATCTTGAACTTGTGTAAGAATTTGAGGAGCAACTTCAGCTGCATCAATGTAGATACTTCTAGCCCAAGGACACTGTGCAACACTTTCATGATATACTTCCTCTCCCTTTTTTTCACACAAGTTATATTCTCTAAGAAGAAGCATGTATAATCTCCATAACAGAGGACAACACCTAGTAGTTGGTATTCTAGAAAAAAAATTTGTTTTTTGTACTTTTATATATGCAATATGAAACATCAACAAAAATTGATTAAACATATACCTTGCAAGTGTTTTATGAAAATGCAACAACTTGTTAATTGCTGCATTCATACTAACAGAATCTTTAATTTCTTTTAAGTAATGAACACGTTTACGACTTGCTAAACACATCGCAAGTGCTTTCCATAATGGAAATTTAGACACTTGAGTGTTACATTTCCAAATAGGTGATTCACTCTGTTAAATAAATATTAATTTTATAAATATTACAAACAAAATTTGTTACATTATAAGCATGCAATTTTTTTTAATGTTATCATTTTTACCTCAATACAAGCCCATGTTGAGAGAGCAAAACAATTATTTGGATATAAATTTAACATATCATTTAATTTCTCTTTTAAAATGTTTTCCTCTTTGGTCTGTTTGCATTGTAATTGTAGAAGTGCAATTAGACTTTCATACAACAATTCCTGAAATAAATACGATGCATTCAGAATACTAAATATATGCAAATGTTTCTACCATGAAAATGAAAATATAAAATATTGTACCTGTATATAATGATATTCCTTATAATAATTTATACAGTTTTTATATATGCTCATAATTCTGTTAATATCGGAATCTCGAATGTACAAAAAGTATACGTAACATACGATTGTATCACATTTAAGATTTGGTAAAAAATATGTATCTTCTTCATTTTCTATAGAATCTTCTTCTAATAAAGTTTTTACACAATTTTCTAAATATTGTTCTACAATCAGTAATTGGTTTTCACTATCTCCAGGTACTATTTGTTTCATAATATTTAATATTTGTATTCTGTGTGTCTCTTTATATGTGTCAGAATTAAGTAAAGTTTCAATGAATGTTCGATACAAGCTAAACAAAGCCAATTTTTCATCAAAACTATGAATTTCAGACAGACACGTATTTTGAGATCGTATCGCTGTTTCCAAAATGTTCACGCAATTGTCAAATCTACCCATTTCTTTTTCTATTAATGCATATTCTCTATAGAAATGTAAATTGTTCCTATTTGTCTCTTTTTTTAAAAATTCTTTTAACGTTGTTTTTAATTTTTTTCCTCTGTAAAAAGTATGATATTAGTCATATGAATATACTGGCATATGAAATGAAAGCAAATAATACTCTTACTTGTTATCATATTTTAAAGGATCATCTTTATGGAAAAAAACAAGCAGTTTTTCAAATCTTAGCCACCAAATGTACATATTCGCACGTTGCAGAGATGGTAAATGTTCCGCAATTGTGAAAAACACTTCCCGTATAAAATCTAGGTACGACTCTTGCGCAGGATGGAACATAAGATATTGGGGACCTGATGTCAAATGTCCTTCAATTATACCATTCAACAATTCCTTTCTTTGGCTATGACCAGTCATTTCACCTGCCATAGGATAAGCAAAAGGAAGTAACATCTCCAAAGTTTCTATACCCCATTCAAATTCTTCTAAACATAACGTCTAAAATAGTATAAAACATAAGATGAATGTGATATGAAAACTGACACAGAATTTTTCTAAACTTTATGTATTGAGACATACTTTGAACATATAATCTCGAGTAGGTAGAAGTGGAACTTTAAGTAAAAGTAATGCGTGAATAGCCATTCGGAAATTTAAGTTCCTTGAAAGTATAGGATGTACAAAATCTGCGACATCATCCGGTATAATAAATCTTCGAGAATCACCAACTAATTCTAATTCTTCTCTGCTGACACTAATCCAGTGGCAATTCTCTCTCAATGATTCTGTTCTTTGCCATAACTGATTAAGTGGTAATTTTGACATTAATATCACTTCCTCCATTCCAACTGTAAATTAACAATATAATCGTGATAATATTACGATTAATAACATTTTATATTAATTACAAAACCACTTACTTAGCTTTTTTTCATCAATAGTTTTTTGAAAAGATAAACTATCTTTACCCAAGCTAAGATTTAAGCTGAGATTCAGACGTATTGTTTCCCACATTTGTTCCCAAAGCCCAGTATGCCTCAGAAATGTTAGAGACCAGTACAACATTTCTGTTTATAATAAGTTGAATGTTACTAATTTTACTTAGCAGAAAATGGAAGTAATTTATAATTTAGTACATACGTAATAATCGTTCATCGTAAATATTTGGATTTGTCCTAGCTTTTTGTTTTAAAATACAAATACATTTTGAATATAAGTCTAAAACTCTTGGTACTGTACACATTGCTACTGAAGTTTGTGTAGTCATAATAAATGTTTGCCATAGAACAATGTTTCCAGAATCTTTACTAATTAATGTTTCAAGCTGTTTTGAACACTCATCAGCTGGTAAGAGCTCTCCCATGAAAGATAATTTTAACTTTAATAGTTCTAGAGATTCTACATTTTTTTCTATTGCTTTTTCAACTATAGACAATTTCTTTAATGTCAGTGCTCGTTGGACATCCTTTGTAGTTTGATATTGTTGAAAATATCCTAACACATCCTGTAAATGATATAAATTTAACAAATTATAATATATAAATTAATGCAACATATACCTGAAATTCAATATATTCAAGCCACAATTTAATGTCATTTGGATTTTCTGCTAATTTTTCATTATACTCTTTAGTTTTAGCTTTTTGTAATTCTTCCAACTTAATTTGCCACAAAGGAGTGCATTCCTCTTCTTTAGATTGACCAGTAGTAGATTCCTTACTAATAACATTGCTTTTTTTTTTATTTTTTTCTACATAATCAATATTTTTTGTATAATATCTTTGATATGTGTCTTTCTTTAAATGTCTGTGTGAAGCAAAACCAATAGAATTCTGTTCAATATCATAGTATGGTCTTACTCTAGAACAAAGGGTCTTTACAGTGCTATTTCCTTTATCTCTATACTTGTCTTCAAAATACAGATTTTCCACTTCTGGTTCATATGGTGGTTTCTCATGTTTTTCATGCTTTCTTTTCTCTTTTTTTTTCTTTCTGATATGCTTAAGTTTTTTCCTTTCATCTAATACAGATTCTTGTGTGCTTAGAGAAGTAACATCATGTAAGATTTCTTGTTTGTTTGCATAATTTTCATTTACAGTTTCATCTGAAGAGTCAGAAGGAAAGTCAACAAGATTTCTGGATGAAATCTGTTCCAGATAACTAGAATTATGCAACCAACTTGATTCGTTTCCTACAATTTAAAAATAACTTTATTATAGTAAAAGCAATTTCATAATCAAAGCTAATTTATAAAATATATTATTAACCTTCTGAAACAGTGTTTGGTTCATTTGAATCTGAAGATTTAGGTGTTTCATCAGAATAAGCCGGAAACAAAGACATGTTTTTTTAAATGTATATTATTAATTTCATAAAATAAATAACATTTCTTGTTTTCTACAAGTTGTTCATGCATTAAATGCTCATCAATATCAATAATCCTTCTGTCAAGATTAAATCAGACATGGTTGAAACTTTATCCAGTGCCTGTACAAAGTGGTGTATGATTGGTTGAATGAAATACGCGGTAAAATAATTCGAAGGTATCGCGAGATTAATAGAAATTATCATGATTGTTGGTTACGACAAACTCAAGGCCATTGAAAATGATGCACACCGTTTTGAGGGTAATTACATGGTTTCAATGCACATTGCAGTTTCAATGAAACCGTCAAACAGATAAGTAAGTGAAGACGTCACCCATCTTATTTAGAAAGTAAATTACATTATTTTTTTTTACTTTTTTACATAGAAAATTACAAACATTTCTATTAAGGTTAGAAGTTGTATATTAGTTGAATTGCTAATTACCGTATCTTATTTAAATGTTTCGCAAATTTAATACTGTGCGGTTAGTTTTTGGTGCTGCGTATTCGTCCACAGAGGCATCTGTTATTCCAGCTAAACTATCCAGAGTAAGTTTTTATTTGTATTTGAAACACTGATTATTTGGTTTTTAATTTGGATAGAATGTACTATACATATATATAGTTATTTCTTTAGTACTGTATGTTAATTCATTATTACAATTTGTTTATTATAAATCATGTAAAATGTAATCACTATTATTTTTTATTTATGTTATCATAGGTGGAACAGTTTAGAGAATTATTAGACAGCACATCTAATAATGATATTCTTACGGATTCATTTGGAAGACATCACACTTACTTACGTATTTCAATTACTGAACGTTGCAATCTGCGATGTAAGTATCTATCTATAAAAGAGATATGTATAATTTGAATTGAAATGATAATGGAGTATACTATATTTATTATAGGTTTATATTGTATGCCAGCAGAAGGGGTTAAGCTAACAAAAAATGATGGTATTTTAAAAACAGAAGAAATAATTAAAATAGCAGATTTATTTGTCAAAGAAGGTGTACGCAAAATACGTTTAACTGGTGGTGAACCAACTGTTAGGAAAGATATTGTTAACATTATTGGTAAATAATTAAATTACTGATAACATTTTTTTATTTATGTTTAATACATTTATATATTTTATTACAGCTGGCTTAAAACAGTTGCCTGATTTAAAGCAGGTTGCAATCACTACCAATGGGTTAACATTAACACGTCAGTTACCTGCTTTACAACAAGCTGGGTTAGATGCATTAAATATTTCATTAGATACTTTAAAAGAAAATCGTTTTGAGCAATTCACCCGTAGGAAGGGTTGGTCTAGAGTTATAGCTGCAATAGATCTGGCTATTCAATTGGGTTATAATCCTGTGAAGGTGAAAAAATGTTTAGCACTTTAGTAAAATATTGTGCAATTAAATGCTAATGTAATGAATATATAAAAAAAAATTTTAGGTGAATTGTGTTGTAATGAAAGGTTTTAATGACGACGAACTGATCGATTTCGTAAATTTAACAAAGGATCGTCCAATTGATGTGCGTTTCATTGAGTACATGCCTTTTCAAGGAAATGAATGGAATCAGAATAAAATGCTTTCCTTTAATGATATGAAAACAATTATTAGGAATGTATATCCCGAGCTACAACGTCTTCCAAATGAATTCAATGATACATCGAAAGTATGTAATATTCATAAAATTTTATGATGAAAAATTTATAGTTGCGTATATGGTACTATAAAAATACTTTTTTTAAAACAGGCATATCATGTTCCTGGATTTACAGGGCAAATTGGATTTATTACGTCTATGAGCGAACATTTTTGTAGTTCATGTAATCGATTGAGGATAACAGCAGATGGAAATTTAAAAGTATGTTTGTTCGAGGGAAAAGGTGAAGTATCCCTCAGAGATGCTTTACGTAACGGAGCGACTGACGATGACTTGAAGGAAATAATCGGAGCTGCGGTACGACGTAAGAAAAAGCAGCATGCAGGTATTATCGTTAATTTGATAAAAGATTATCTTACAGTGTGAAGTATTGCGAAGCGATAACGTTTATATATTCTCGACAATATGTGTGTTTCAGGAATGTTTAATCTATCCCAGATGAAAAACCGGCCAATGATTCTAATCGGGGGTTAGTCCATTATCGTGGAAATTTTATACTAGTGCAAAATATAGTTTCACTGAAACTATGAGTACAAACGTTATCGCTCGGTTTAACTATAAACAATAACGTAAAATCGTACAATGAATTTATAAATTTATAACTATACTTATTTATGCTTGCAGTTGAAAAGATACGCGTACACGTCAGAAGTGATAAGAATTCACGAAACAATAAGTCGCGTAATTTAACAGGCGCGAGAATTTTGTTAAATAATTATGCAAGCATAAGACTATTTTCTTCGTTGTCGCACGTGGACGAAAGCGGTAAAGCAAGCATGGTAGACGTTGGTTCGAAAATTGAAACTAAACGCGTCGCGATAGCGAGAGGAATCGTACAGGTTGATTCGACTATAAGTAAATTGATAAACGAGAATAATATAAAGAAAGGAGACGTGTTGTCTATAGCACAGTTGGCGGGAATTATGGGAGCTAAACGTACCCCTGATTTGATACCCTTGTGTCATCAACTTTCGTTATCCTACGTGAACGTGCACTTGCATTTAAACGCAGAATTACATCGAGTAGAAATTACAGCAGAAGTTAGGTGTACTGGTAAGACTGGTGTAGAAATGGAAGCTTTAACGGCCGTAACTATTGCGGCATTAACAGTATATGATATGTGCAAATATGCGGCTTCTCCGAAATCGATGAAAATAACTAACATAGAATTAGTTTCAAAAACCGGTGGTACCAAGGGTGATTTTATTAGGAATTAACCATTCCAAATTATCGCATAATATATGTACAATCGAGGGATTCCGTAGTGTATTATATGGGCCACAGTACTATTTAACTCGTTAAGCGTTTATGTACGTTTCTATTTTCTCATTATACATATAATTGTTATTGTTAAAAGGGTTTCTACCGATATACGTGCGCATGTACCTCGAAGAATAAGAAATTTTATTTAATCAACGTATACCGGTTACGTTAAGCAAAATATTGTTATGCAAGAACATAAAGTTCGGTTTATACAATTGTTTTGTAATCTTTACATATTGAATGGTAATCGGTGTATGTATTTGTTGAATTCTTATTAAAATGTTAAATTATAATCTATTGTTTATATAAAAATACATCTTTATGCGTGTAGTAATTAAAGCGTTAAATTCTCTTATCAGAAAGGAAACCAGGATGTGTTTTACTGACAGAACTCGAATTTTTTATAATTGAAGACCGATAAGTGTGTCAGATAAGGATGATAAAGGCAGACCGAGTTGTCGGCGCAATCGCAAATATCGGTTGCATCGCGAGGCGCCACTGCACCCTGATTTTAGCTTTTTCGTTTCCTCAAGCCAGGACTAGCTTTCAGTATTTGGAACGCTGTCGGAACGCGTTGTTCTCGAACCAAATCCTTTGTCGTCTTTCCACCGATCGAGCGTGAAAACATTTTCGTTTTATAATTATAAAAAACATTAATCATACCTTCTTTTTTTACTACGAATAAACGCGTTGTTATTTTTCAAATAATAAAAAAAAGAAAAGAAAAAGAAAAAAAAAAGAATTGTATCGCAGTACAAACGATGGATTTCTGTTGATGTGTCTCTTTATGTATAAAATTATAGTTGCCGTCGTTTTACGGTGAAATTAAAGTTTATTTCTTTTTAAGTTTCGTGGGTGACCGTTTGGTTTACATGAGAATCCGGAGAGTATCGTTCGGAAGACGAAGGATGAGAAATGTTAACGATCAAGGGACGATCGTGGAATCGTTAACGATCTTCGACGATTTCTCAGAGTTTCGGGGGAATCGAAAATACAACGAGTAAAGATGAAAGAATCCTGTATATAAAAACAATGGCACCGTTCCATGGCATGGCCCTTATACTGCTTGGAATCGGATACCTGTTACACGCAGAACCTCCTTCTAGTCACAGGAACTTAGGTACAAGAAATATTAATTATTACAAATAAAAACAGAGTTATTCAAAGTAAAAATTGATCAAATCAAATCAAATCAAATCATTGAATTACCATCGCGTATCGCGTTTACTCGATTAAGTAAAATAAAATAAAGCTCTTTCCAAATTTTGTCCGGTACACAAGTTCTTGTCTGATGTTTGTGCTCGAAAATAAGTTACCATTTTCCGAAAGTTAAATAGCGTGACGCGCTTCAATCGTCGAGCACTTTTGCTCGAAAAACACGGATAATAAAAAGGCAAAGGTTTCCGAGGGTTCAAGCGAGATGCCTGAATTTTAGCGGTGCAACGAGTCGACGATGAGAAACCCGATAAAGGGGAACGTTCACAACGAGGGACGAAGAGGACGTATTTTTATATAGATTCGCCTGAAAAAGTGACCGCCGTTGTTGGACAAAATGTTGTGCTGTTGTGCCGTGTTAAGAATTTGGGCAACAGAACCGTGAGTTTCGTCACGTTTCTTCATTTTCCTTTTTTTTTTCAATAAAGCCATGCTGTATCGTCTTGTAAGCTATACACGATTTTCATCAGGAACTCAATCCCACACGATATTAGCTTGTTGCGGATCAAATGATCGATTCGAAGATTAATAATTATTAATCAAAATTTATTACATTGTTCCTGATTGAAATTTGTCAGATTAATGTTATATATTATCAATTCATCAGCTTCATTTCCTGCAAATATTGCATTTGATTATCAATAACTTTTGTTGCAAAATGTCCTAATTGAAATCCGTAGAGGAACAATAGATGAATTTCGCTGTAGACCTTTGTTTGCTACAACTGACAACCACCCATTGTACACGAAGGACGATAACAAAGGGTTTATGTAGTCATTTTCGTCAAACATCAAGCTTTAAATTAACGTAGCACAAATGGTATTTTGCGAAATTTTTCTATCATCAAATCGCCTGGGAGTTCGTACATTTCGAAATGAAACATCTAATACGCAACAAGCTAATATTTCCTAAGTGCAAGTAGAATTACATTTCCTCGAGTATACATCGCGTCGTACACCGTACTTCCGGTACACTTCCTTCCAAACGATTAAAGAAAAGGAAACAACGCGAATTACGTAGCGTCGTACCGCGTATTTTTCTCTTCGCTTTTTTTTCCCCGCTGTTCTTCTCGTTTGAAAGCATTATATTTGTAAATGAAGTCCAGGAAAAATATAAAACAATAGCGACGCCTAGGATTATCTCGAAAGCATGTTGTAAATGAAGAGGTCGCGTTTTACCCCAGCAGTTGTTGCAATTAACATTATTCTTGGGAAAAGTGGAAACGGTTAGCCGATTGCGATGGATAGCTAAACGGTGGACGAAATATCCCGTATTCTGATTCAGATATTGTCCCAGGTGTCTTGGATTCGAAAAAGGGACTTACACATCTTGACGTCCATGTTGGTGACTTATACGAGCGACGCAAGATTTAGGATAGTCGGAAATCCGGAGCGCGACGACTGGAATCTGCGAATAGATTACGTACAACCACGGGATGCCGGCATTTACGAGTGTCAAGTTAATACAGAACCGAAGATTTATAGGGCGATTACCTTGAAAGTTTTAGGTAAGTTCCAGTTGCTCTTCGAGCATTAGAAATCGCGTTAGACTTTTTACTCTCGTTGGTATATCAGACGTTCAGGCGAAGATCACCGGTCCCGAAGAACTGTACGTGAAGAAGGGTAGCACGATTAGCTTGACTTGCATCGTGGAGATGCAAGACATTCCTCCGAGCAACGTGACTTGGTACCATGCCGGTGCCCTGATCGATTTCGATGGTCCAAGGTGCGTTCGACGAAAGCAATTAACGATCGATGATTTTTAATAATGCGTTGAACGTTCGACAGGGGTGGCGTTTCTCTGGAAACTGAGAAAGGTAAGAACGGTACGACGAGCAAACTGCTAATCACTCGTGCCATGTTCAACGACAGCGGAAATTACACGTGCGACGCGAGCAAGGTTGCCCCGGCCAGCGTGATGGTTCACGTGTTGAACGGTGAGGATGAAATACGCTCGATTAAGTCCCGAAGGAAAGCTTCTCCTCTTCATCGGGGCAAAAAAATCCGCTGCTTTATTCCATCAACCTCTCGAGATCCCGTCGAAGCATCAAAGAACCTCGAGATACTTTAAGAACATCTATCTCGCGAAAGACCCTTATCGCAGAGAGTCTACAAGGAGAAATTTTCATCGTTACGTTGCATGCAGCGATGGGATTGAGATGAAAACGAAATGAAAATTAAAACTTGAATAAGTCTGACTTATCCCTTTACGGACAAAGAGATTGATATGCAAGACGCGTGGACGCGTCTATAACTTTTCAGATGAAAATCGGGCACCTTCATATTTTTTAATTAAATTTGAAAGACAAAGCCCCTGATTTTGCCCAGTGATGAACGCGACTCGTTTCTATATCTGTTTAACGCAGAGATTAAAAGCTGATGATATGGTTATTAACAACTTTGTTGTTGGCTTAATCCCATCGCTAGTTGCTCGTTAGAATGCATGTATGTATATAAAGTGAACAGATATTTGAGTGGCTTAAAAAGGAAGAATAGACAGAAACGTTACACGGTAACGTCCGGTAACACCTGTTCCTTCGATGTAGCCGGAGAACAATTGTTGTAACTCGCGAAACTCGTTACAGTTTTCTCGTTAACGAACATGCTTGGAAAATCGGGAGAACGAGAAACAAGCGCGAATTGAAATTAAACCACGAGCTGTGTTCTCGTTATGTAAATTCCTCATTCGCCGTTGAAATTTTCTCAATTTTCCACGAAATTTCTAATCCTCCTCTATCCCCCCGGTGTCCCAGTTCTCGAATGGTGACGATAGTTTGGACCGTCTCTGAATCGAGTTTCTTTTCAGGCGAACATCCCGCGGCGATGCAACACGGTGGCACCGGGAACATCAACAGGAGAGCGATTCTCTTCAGTTTACTCCTCTTGGTGGACACGATATTTCGGTGAGCGACCACCATTTTTCCTGGTGGCAGAGTTTTTACAACTGCTGGCAACTGAATTTTTTACGAATGGTATTTTGGTTTTGGAATATTTTATTATTAAAGAAAAAATGAACTGTTGCAATAGACCTTGCACGGTGTTCATATGTGTGTTTTCTCATCTTTGCCACTAATGTTAAAAATTGACTGTAACATTCGTTAAAAGAATAAATTGCGATTTGTCTGTTAACGAATATCCATTTTGCCATCATTTCTTTCGTCGAGCAAAATGGGAAACAGATACGCGACAGTTTTTTAAGTTAATTTCCATGTAACGTTGACACAACGATTCGGTCGATCCTGGTACGATTAACCAGATTATCGGTATTAAATCCGTACCACGTTTTCCGATAATGGAAGAGACAGTTCTAAAGTCCGGCTATGCGTAGGTAGGATGGCACACACGTCCCAACGGGGACACAGAGCGAGCATTGGCTGCTGGTGGTCTCATTTTATGCAAATCGCAGAGAAGCATCTGTTAGGTGGCCGCCACGAAACGGAGACGAGGAGGACACATCGCCAATGTAAATTCATGGGGAAACCTCTCGGATCCTCTCCTCTTCCTTGTCCCGCTGACCATGATCACCGGAATTTCCGGTTGGATATTGCCGGTACCACGGACAACGGCGATGTACCTCGTCTCCTTCGATGCTCTCGTCTCCAAGTTTCACCTTCTACTACAAGATTAACGGACTTCCCGGTAATCCCTTTCGACACTCTCGAGAAACCTTTCCATCAGCTTAGATAAGGATTTTTCCTAAGTAACAGGTAAGTCAGATAAAAGTATCAATTAATTTTTAGTAGTTCTCGATGCCATTGGATTAGCTAAGATTTTTCTCAGCTGAACCTTACACAGTTGACGTGCTTTAATCGTGAATCAGGAAACGGATGATAGAGGGTTTCGATGAAATACGAAACTCGGCAAAGCCCGTTTTCGATTATTAGGCTATCTTGCGGAACGGGCAAGTTTGCAAGTTGATCCATTCAGGTCTTTATCCGGTTTAGCAGAGCATTTAAATTTACGTATACATATAATGTCTCTTGAACCGGCTCGAAATCTGGTATGAATGTACTCTGTGTATAAAACGGCAGTGAACGCGGTGCTTTGCATTCCTTTTCCTTTATCCGACGCGAAAACCGAACGAAATATAAAGCAAACCAGCTTCAACGTAGAATCGCTTCTACTTAATTCCGTTATAAGAATTTAGATTAAACGTCAACGAAATTACTTACCGTTCGAACTGTCGATGAATTTTTAATACTCTTCGCGTCGATTAAAAACACTCGATTAAAAAATGTTTATAACAAAATCGATGAATTCTGTCGGAGGAAGATTGAAAAATTATTATAAATACGACAAAAAGGTTTTTCTCTTCGTAAGATTGATTTTAGGTATATAGCCTGTCCAGGTGAAAGTTCGGCGAGATTCTGAACACCATTTGTTATCCGGAAGTTAAGTTGCCGCTAGATTTAGAACGGCAGGCTGTTAGGTTTTCAGGCAAACAGGGGTTTTAGTGAATTTGTTATACGAGAAGATAGTCGCACGGTCTACAGGTAAGCTTCTTCTTACGGTATCTAACGACTTGCAGGGTCGAAGTTAATGAGCTCGAACAGGGCGACCGTAATTTTCGAAGCGATCCGTTCACCTTTTTCTGGCTTCTTCGCGAAATTCTATCCTTCCACTTAACGCTTTAATTTCGGCAAAAGCAATCACAAATTCAATGTAATTAAATAATTAGATTAAAATATTAAAACATAATATCGATAAGGGATCTCAAGCCAATTCATTGTTTGCCGTGGCACAAGTGGCATTTCGAGATAATTTTCTGTCACGAATTAGCGATTGAGTTTTCGCGTGTGAAATCGACGAGTAACGATCTAATAGAAATGGATCATCTTGTTTCGATTTTCCGCGTTTTTCCTCGCGCAACAAGGTCGTCTCGTGTCACGAGGCGCGACGCTGAAATTGCGCCATTAATTTAACGAGCGACGGGCCACACATTTCCCGGTAATTTCCAGCCAGGTCATTAAGGTGGTGCTTGTATTTCTTGTAATCGCATTATCGAAAAATCTACCGGCTCGGAAATTGCCGTGATCGTCGAGACGTTATAGATCTCAGCCTCGACGGGTTTTAGCTAACAATAATAAAACAGGATAATCGATGTCTTCCTTACCTTTCTTTTTAACAACTGTGATGACGAAATTCTTCACTTTTTCTTTTACAAGAAATATTTCAACTTATCGTAACTGTTGACAAATTTGTCAAACGATCATCTTTTGAAGTTTGGCTCGTCGTCGAACGAACCGGAAATCGATCGACCGTAATGTTCCAACAAGTCTGTGAATATCTATAAAAATGTCGAGCATGTTTCCGAAACTTTAAATCGCCGGCTATTATTCCGACGAAAAGTTTCCCGATAAATCATCGCGGAAAACCAAATGTTAGGATGTGGACGAAGAGAAAAAGGAAGAGAAACAGGGACACAGTTGCGGAACTAATAAATATTAATAGTCTATGGTTACTTAATAATCGATCGAAATTTTTCCAATTCTACCGACTGCTCGTAAAATATTTCTTATTTTTATCCAGTCAGCTATATTTTTTATCGACAATTTTTTTTTTTTATTAATAAAACTCTCGTTGATGTTGCAATATAATTCTTTTATCTTGCACCGATGGATAACTCGTGTGTATAATTGATAGAAAAAGAATAGAAGGCAAGGTATAATTTACTCGTAATATATACCGAAAACGCTACACCACGCGTATATGTGGTTGTTCTCATAAACATAATAGGAATAATTGTCACGTTCCACGTCCCAGAGACACTGGAAGCTCGTGTGAATGCTTTGATCAAGACGTTGTATAATACCCACCTGCGTCACTATTTTGTACCTTGCAACAATAATAAGAGAAATCCAATTATTAACTCTGATCCATATTACAGAAAAGGTAAACGATACGTTTCTGTCTCGCGTAATAGAAATATTTCTAACAAACGCGTTTCCATAATTGCATTCAAGTTGCGCACATTTCGCGAAACAATGCTCAGTTTTATCAGGATGCAATTGCTCTCGTTGAATTTCAAATTAAAAACATGAGAAACCCGTAACTCGAACCATTTTTGCCGTGGGCAGCTGTTACAAAAGAATTTACGACAATCCCGAGGAGACCTGGTTCAGGACTTCCCTTGGCAGAAGAGAAGTTTCGACTTTTTTTTTTTTTTTTGAAGAAGAAGAAAAATGTGTTGCATAGGCAAAGGGTTGAAAATAATCTCTACCTGTCGTAATCCTTCTTGAAGATTGCTTTTTGTATATCGGTTCCAATGTCCATGCACCATTTGGACGTCTGATTCGGATCGTACGAGGTCACTGTCTCCAGTTTCCTCTCCATGATATTTTTCACAAGAATATCAACGTCGTGTGCATGGAAGGCGTGAAATGGTTCGAGACGATAGGTGTTTTGATATCTCGGGATCTGTGTTTCAGAGTTTAGGGTAGTTAGGAGAATGTTAAAAATTCAGGAAGACGGCCTGGATACCGTGATTTCCTTCGTACAGTTACTTAAAATGAAATATTTCACGTACCTTCACCCGATCTCCACGTTTATGAAAGAACACACGACTCCCTAGTAAACCGAGAACAGAGATCTTCGACAGCAATCTTTTCTTACTCTAAAATAATTCCTAATTTGTAAAACGCAAACTAACCTAGTTATCAGCGGTGATTAATTAATTTTACCTCGACAATGGTTTGTCTGGTGCTGGATCTCGGTAAGGTGCTGTACGAGGGACGAGTTTTTGACATACTAAACTCAACGATGGCTTGCTTGCTTGATGCATGCATGGTCTTCAAATATATTGCCACAAATTGTTCATGGAATTTTTGGTTATACTGGAACAAAGGAAAGTTAGCCAGTAATTACTAAGATGGCAACGAAATTATGTCAAGCTTCGGAAGCATTCCCGATTTCGGTTGTTCCTTTTCTATTCACTTAGCATCGCGTGGAATTTTATAGTTTCATTGGTGAATGGGATCAGCAATGTCACGCGAGAGGGGTTGAATAATATAAAGAATGCAGTGTACACGCAAATATCGGCTTTATCGAAGGGATCAGCTCGTCTGGAAGTCTTATAACCTCGGGCGTCTCTTCTTCAATGCGAGGAATCGTAATAAAAGCTACTGGGATAAATCAACTATGAATCTTATCGATGGAAAATCGAAGTTTACGGTTTTTTTTCTGCGCGTCGCGTTGCATTCCAATCGAAGGGTTTAGAAAAGATAAGGTAGTCGTGAATGGTTATATTCATCGCTTTCTTCGTTCCGATTCAAGCCGGAGCTAATGGAGATGCATCGACCTAGGATCCTCGCAATTTCTTCCCCTCTCAAAGTAGCTACGATTATGGAGGATTATTCTTTTCACCATTCAACAAACTAAAAGCGATTCATCTAATAGTATATAGATTGTTAAGTTAATTAATGCCTTAATGAAACTATTTCAATTTAAATATCGTCAAAGTCGAGATAAAAATTAGATAGCTTAAATTGCTCTTCTCCTGAGCTCCGAGTTTTAAATAAGAAAACCCGGTACGGCAGTGTCGCTGTTCGTTTCATTTACATCAGCTTTTCCACTCGAGCAAGAGCTTCGAATCCCGTCGTAGAACGTGGTTACGATCTGCTCGGCCAGAAGAAGGCGAATAAAAAATTCAGAAAGCAGATAAAACCGTGAGGCGTGTGTGTTTTCTAGCTGTGCAGGCATTTGCATTCGTCGAGAAAGGGAAATTCGTGGATTGCGAGGCAAGCGAAACGAAGGAAAGGAAAGAGGTGGAAATTCGACTCTGGCTTTTCGACAAGAAAACTTGATCGACGTCTGGTAGCGGGACAATCTATCACCAGGCTAGTTCTACTACTGGCTTCGACATAAAATCAATGCCGATCCTCATTTCCATGTAAATTATCTCTGACATAGTTTGCTGTCGAAACAGGCAAATCTACCGACTACGTATCCGTTCATCCTTCCGTCAAATTTAAAAAATGAAAAAAAAGGAACGTGTTCCAAAAAAATTGCCCCCGTTCCTCTTAATCTAGCTTGTTGGCTCAAGGTCGAACCGATGAAAAACGCAATTAAAATTTAGAAAAAGGGCGCACCGACTCGAAAACTGCTGGCGGTGCTTCTATTTACCTTCTCCGGCAATCTGCGTCATCGCATCGGGTCAAGATGCAATGGAAAAAATCGATAACTTATCGCGGTTATCGCGAAGGATTCAAGGACCGATTCAACCGAATCACGATACATTTACCAGTTGAATTCAGAATGTAGTTATCGTCGATTCAGGATCGCGTTACAATCGAATCACGATTCCTCTTTGAAATCTAGTTACGATCTAGTTCCGTCAGCGACCGAGAGAATCGACACCAAGTAAAGGAACGATTTAATTGAAGCTTGGTAATTCGTATCATAAAATTTAGTCCAAGTTTACATCCGGCTTTCTTTGTCGGATATTTGAGGAGCGTATGATAAAAACGAGTGAGAGAAAATGGTTTGGTAGTGAAAGACCGAACAGGAACAAAGGGTAGAGTTGTTGAAGAGAACAATCGAGGGAGAATAGCGTGAAATTGACCTGCGCACCACGGTCGTATAGACTTTAAGAAATTTTATGCGTTCTATTTTCACTTGTAATTGTCTGAAACATACACTTGGGATTGGAGAATAAATGATGCGAGAAAATTTGGCGTTTGCAACCCTTCGCTTCTGATGAAAATATAAAATTCTATATAATTTAACGCGAGAACTCGAAAGAAACGAATAGCTATCGGTTGGAGTAGATGGCAACTATCAGATCGTATATCTAGGTGGAAAGGATACTGAGAATGGATTCGGTTTTCGACAAATAAGACGGGTTCTTAGACGATCGTTCACCGTTATGATGGGATAGTCGGTTGCTTCGATTTCATGCTCGTCAGAATCGTACGCGATTTATCTTTGTCAAACTTATACTAGCGATTCAACTGTGAAAGCGAGGCGAGGGTGAAGGGAAGGAAAGAAAAATGGAGGTAAGAAAATTCGTGCAAGATCACGAGTAGTTGGAAAATAAGAAACGAATCGCGCAGGTTAAGGGGGTTAATGAAATTTCACCGTCCCTCTGCAACATTCGCCGTGGCTGTCGTTGTTAATTGGAAGAAATAGGCTCTCGAGATGTCGCGGGGTTATTGGCAATGCGCGAGAACAAATACTGATATATGGTAGCATCACTTCCACTTTCAATTTGTCCTGCACGAAACGCCGTCATTTATCTTTATTTCCTTTAAGCTAAGCCTCCAACTTGGCGTTATCGGCCACGGCACGCAAGCTTACTTCCCAATAAGGAAGCGTAGCTTCCTTTTCACCCGGCGATTCAATTTCAACAACGATCCAACCTGGATTAACAAACATATTGCTTAAGAAACAACCAACACCGCGATATTTGCCGCAACGCTTGGTTCTCACGGTACGAATCGGAAAACCTATGGCCAACGCGTTTTTCACGCTCGCTGTAACGACCAATTAAAAACGTTTTTACCAGGAATCCTTTTCAAATCGTTTTATTATCCGTTAAAACTCTGTGAAACGGATATACTGGGCTCACCCTCCGCGTCACGTCGGAGCAAAATGATCGAACCAGAGCATTATTCACGGTTTATTTCACATGGCAAGCTCTCGTTGTCGTTTGGCAAGTTTTGTCGATCGTGTGTTTAATTTCACGTATTGACAGTTGCTTACGGATTCATCGAGAATTACCAGTCGTCATTTTACGTCGAGCAACCGCTTCGTTAATCGACCGCTCCCCTTTTCATTAAAATTGTATCTTGTAACGGAAGTAACCTGGCTTGCGCAGAGATTTCAGGTTAAATTTCGACAGGGAAAGAGGAATTCGAGTCGAGAGACTCGAGGATAATGAATAATAATTTAATACAGAGTACTTGAGACATTAGCGTCCCCTTTGGGTTTCGAGCTTGGAAATTCAAACAGAATCAATGATTTATTTATAATAAAAGCAGAGTATCTCGTTCTTTCTGCTTTTTAATTTATTTAGTTCGCAACGCATCGACGAACGCGCAAAACGTTCAACAGCCTGTTTGGCAGTTTAATTTGACCAATCGAAATTCTACGCGCACGACCTTCGGTTTGATTCAGCGGTGAACCTCGTGAAATATTAAATACATACGCTAGTAAAGAGCAATTTCGATGCGACACGAGCTTCCCTATTTGCCACCAGTTGAAAGCTACTTGCCAACTCGTAACCTTAATGTCGTTTCAACGTTTGGGATTCGTTAAACGCGACCAACGGGCTTTATTAGATGAAATCGTTGAAACGTAGAGGAATCGGAACCGGCATGCCGTAAAATTACACCCTTCGTCTACTGATCTATCGCCCCGCGTTCGTAGACCATTCTTTATCCAACCGGAAGTTCAAACTTCCGAGTGTCCTGTAGAAAAAGCGATTCCGAAGTCATTCGCGAACGAACCGACGCTATTTCCTCTTCCTTTCAACGACCAGTTCTTTCATAATCTTGCAGAGAAGCGTAATTTGGATAGCTGGTAAAGGTCAAAGTTTCGTTTGACGACTGATTTTCGATGTGATCATTTTATCATTTAACCAGCTACAAATAATTTCCGCACAAATCCACGCCTTTGACACGAACCATCGTTCCATTGATCTACCTATAGACACAAGCAAACAGCTTTCTGCCTAATTTCGTTTGTTTCATTCGAGTCATCGCGCTTTAAAGCGCAATGATTGTAAACGAAGCGTTTCGATTTCCTGAACGATCATTGCGCGCAACCACCGAATTTCCAATTAAAACCAGTCCCTCGGGGGAAAATTAAACGACGCTAATTACGGCACGGAGACGAAACGGTTCTTTTAATTAAAAAAGTATCCGTAAAGCATATTCGAGTAAAATATACGTGTATGTATGTATACCATCGTTTTTCTTCGGCCGAGAGAAACACGTCGAAGCAAATTAAACGTAGTAATTGGATGCATTTCTTGTTATACTTGGCAAGAATTTGCCATCATTTAAATGCTAGCATTGTTCTTTATCGCGATAATGGCGAAACGTTTTGCCTTTGCAAGACTTTTCACAGTTGTAAGTTCTCTTAGAGCGTTTCTCCAAGAAAACAGGGTCTAAATAAGTAAAAATGAACTGTACGTTCTGGCCAATTTCATTCCTGTCTATTGGATTCCTTGATGAAATTCGTTTTCCTTTGTGACGTGGTCGTCGGTGCATCGTATTCTTTTGAACTTTTCAACTTTTCATTTCGACCCATTTTAACGATCTGATATCCAAAGCGATAAGAAAAATATTTTTTTAAACACTTTTCCGCTGACAAAAATTTCCATACGACGACGCGATGATAAGATGCCGGAAGAAAAGAAGGAGAAGAAAGAGAAAGCATTGTGCTATAGCATAATCAGGGAGAAGGATATTAGAAGAGAGTAAAAAGCTTGCACGCTTTAGATAGCTAATTTGTCAGATACTTGGCTACCGGATATAGCTGTGCTGGATGACTACGTAACAAAGAAGATATTGCATGTAAGACGTGTACATGACAGGAAAGATACAGGGTAAAGGCTGCTGGTTCTACGTACATACATACATACATACATACATACACATAGGTAGCGAGCTCTTTTCGCGAAATGGGTGTACGCTCGATACGGAAAAGAAGTTCATCAGCCGCAAGAAATTGCGTTTCCTCTTTACGCGGAGAATCCCGTTAAGGTTTTCTTCAATTAACATCACCACGTTTTCAAACTGAAAACTTGTGTACAATTTTCAGTTCGATTGAAAATTTTTTATTTCATTTCTTTTCGTTTCCGTTCGACTCTATTTCTATAAAAATTGTAAAGTGAGAGATTAAAATGGAGACAGAGTACGAGTAATTCAAAAGTTAATTGGATTTGGCTGATGAGAATTTTCGAGAAATTTAACATCCCGGTAGAAGTGTTAATAGCTGGAAAATGTGTTTCGCGGTTGTTCCATCGAAAATCTTTTCACCACTTTTCATCGCGTCCTGATTACAGAATTATCGATTTCTCTAGGAACGTTCTTGGCCGACGCGCGATTAATCGAGCTCTCGGTACTTTATATTAAACCAACGGGAAAGTATAAAAGTCATCAAACTGGTTGCTTCCACGGTCTTATCGAATGCAGCCTGCGGCCGCTTCTAACGATACCCGTCGAACAATTAAACGGGTATTAACTACATTGATACTTGTGCTTGTCTTTTGTTCAATTCAAATTGGCCTCGCGATAAATTTTTGCTACCGAGTCATGTTTCATTCAATCTCCACCGTATCATTCGTTGACAGTTAATTATTTAGTTATATTAAATTTGATCAATCCCCTGACAGGAATTAATGACAGAAAATTAAAAGGAATTAACTCGTCATAAAGATCTAACAATAATTGTAATTCTCAAATCTGGCAAGAACAAAAAACGCGATTGATAAAAGTGGAAATTGATGGGAAATGGAACCGAGTGGTTTGCGATATCCTTTGTTTCGCGAGACCGAAATTTATTTCCGGTTTTAGAATATCAATTTCAATTTTTATATCTACCAGCTACTACCACTTTACTGGAGGAAAAAGAAATACATAGTTGGTTGGCCAACATTGAAATAGAATTACTGTTCCACAGTTTTGGTAGAAGCCCTAGTTGAAACCGTGCTTGTATATCGATTTTTATTTCATTTGCTTGTTAACCCTTTTACGCCAGAGTAAAATTGAGATACAACGAGGAAAAAGTATGTACTTCTTTCATTTTTGTTTTTCAATAAATTGCTTTCAGTTGTACCGAGAAAACTAAAGTACATACTTTAATAATAACGTAGCTGGTTCGCATTTCAAACACGTATGAACCATTCCATCATATGAAGTATCACTTTTCACTTTGATAAATGAAAAATACGTATCACTTTATATTCTGTAACTAAAGAATAGCGAAGTCGAGTCTTTGCTAATATTTAGTATCGTTATTTAGCAGGTACCCTTTGTAAATAGAATTTTTCTGTGAATATTATCTGAAAATACTGAGCGGGTTGACGGTAAAGCGGGGGTTGCATAGATCAGAGTTACATGGTGGGTGAATCGAGTAACTTTTGGTAATTTAGTTTTACGCCAACTGCTGGAATGGTGGCTTACGAATGACCCGGGTAAAGTTTTCTCTGTTTATTACAGTTACGTTTGTAGTTACAGTTACCATATCGTGCTATGCGTTTCCTTAACGAACCATTATCTTGAGACAAGCTTGACTTCTTCGCGTTTCATTTCTTAAGAAACCAGACAAACAAACGTCACATTATTTCTAATGAATCTATCGAACACGAAATTTTTGGAAATGTTATCCTCGTAGACGTAGGAAGGAAATTTAAAAACTTAGGAGAAGCAAAAACCATCGTTCGTCACGGAGGGTCATGATCTCGTAAAGGGAGCTTTTTCGCAGGAACGTGGATTGACCTGGAACAGCCACAGGTCTGAACAATGATCGTAGGTGGTCGCAGGATCTCTGGTTGATCTCCAAGGAACAGCCTTTAGTACAGAGAAACCGGTGCGGACGTTTTCCAATATCCAATAAAGTCCAACTTCGACCTCGGTTCGTCGAATGTTTCGCTCGGATACGATTTAAAATGGCGTAGTCACGGAAACACGTGCCTGTAAATGCTCATTGTAACGCAATGATGATTCTGTAATTTATAAAAGTATCATTTAAATTGTTAAAATTATGGAGCTGAAAGCTACGATTCGCGTTTAACATAGGTACATAACTTAAGATTTGGAAATTGGTAATAGTTATAATAGTTTGGCAAATATGGATCGAATATTAGATAACGAGGTATGTCATTGTGAGAATATGAAGGCTCTAATCGGCTTACTGGTCGACGGTCTCAAGTGGAAACAATTGTATGATTTCACAAGGAACTTCTACTTGGAAAAGAAAAATGATACGCTATATTAATTAGCCGTGGTGCACTGTTCACGGCATTTTTAATTTTTTTAATGGAACATAGTAATTAACATTTCTATTAATAACAGCAAGTACATATCACATGTCTTAATTAATTAATTTGTCTGCATAATTTAAATTTATCAAACACTTTCAGCTTCGTACTCGATGGTGCATTAGCAAGCAATTTTAAAAACGTATTTCCACGTTTCTCTCGTTTAATGTTTTGTTAATAACTGTTTGCAGTCTTTGTACATTTGCTTTAATTACAATTATTCCTTCATTTCCATTAATTTTTCTCGACGTCCAATTGAAATTTTGCTGTATTATAGAGAAAAGCCGAGAGAGAGAGAGAGAGAGAGATGCGAATTAAAGCATGAAATTGTAGAGAGCAGAGAGAGGAGGGAAAGAAGAAGAGGAGCCGTCGACTGGACCGTTCTGACAGCCACGGACAGAAGAATGTCCGAACGTGGACGGAATCGTAAGAGGATTCCACTCGTCCTCGACCCTTTACATTTACATTCCATTCGTTATGCGGTAGTGGGTGTATTTGGAAAGGGTTCTGTCTCTACTCGCTGTCGCAACTACCCCTTCAATTTCAGCTACGCTAACAGCCGTTTTTTTTCCGCTTCGCGAATTTGCACTGCGAGCGTTGAACCGAGTCGTACGCACGTAGTATTATACGCTTGGAATATTTGTAGCTCTATTGTTAGTCGTTGTTTCGTGGATAGATTCAGAAATAAGATGTCTACCTTTTTTGACAGTTCTACCAGGATTATTAACACCTCGATTGCCATTTTGATCACTGATGATCGACGTTTTTAATTTAATATCGAGTTATTAAAAAAAGGAAAGTTTCAAATACCACTGGCAGAGTAAAATATTTATTTCCATATTAAATTCTTTCTGCTTGACTTTCTTTTCTTTTAACAACTTTTTATACTCTCAAAAGCATTCTATTTTCTTGGCGATTAATTACTCCTTTCTTCACAGTCTTTCGCTTGTTTCATAAGATACGGCAGCATAGAAGATTTTAAGTTATAATGAACGAAACTTATAATCAAAGAGTCGATAAAGTTCATTTCCCTTCACTATGTTCTGACTGGCATGTTCGTTACCGATAACCCGCGTTATGAATATTTTATTATTTAAAAGAATTAAATAAGAAATAAAAAATTACGTTCGCGCAAGAATAGAATGTTTCACTTGTAAATAGTTTGTTGGCATTCAGCGGATCTAGTTTGATCTAAATTCTTGATTTGTCCCTTCGTAGCTTCCGATCGAATCAACGAAGAACGGAAGCGGATACGATCTTGAACAATTGACAGGGGATGGTATGATTCTCGACGAAGCTCATTGCTTCCCTCTCTTTCAAATTGACGTCAATTCAGTGCCAAATCGAAGCGTATTCTAGTTTTAAATATAAAGAAGAAGATATCGGAATCAGCAGTCGATGATTTTTTAAAACATTTTATTTTGCAATATCGTTAATTTATTTTCGCTGGACGGTATTCAATGATTGTGCATGTACATTGAATCGGAGGGAACAAAGACATCTTTCCTGGTCTGTTTACTGTCTCGCGTCGGTCGAACGACGTCTCTAACGAGTCTACGGGAAAATCGAACAAATTTGCCTAGTCCGAGGAAACGCTTCTTTAGAGCAACAAGAAAAAGAAAGAAAAAAGAAAAAAGAAGAAAGAAAAGAAAAAAAAAAATGGGAAGTGGGATGGAATCGCCTTCTATTTACAAAATCGTTCCAGCGAGTGGAAACGATCGGTAGCTGGCTCGACGAGTGCTGTTCCGCACGTTCCAACTCTTTCCTATAGAATTTCTATCGAGCGCGAGACATCCCCGTACGGAGTACGTGACACGTATCGAACATCGTTGCACTCGATGTACCGCGAGACATCGATCCCCTGTAAACATACTGGCTACTGCTATACAATCTCCATTGTACTCTTATCCTTCTAGCTATCTTTCACGCTTTTATACCACCACCCGAACGCTCGTTTCCATTAATCTCGAGAATACTTTGTGCCTTCCCCCTTTGTTACCGCATTAACAATTTTTCCTAGCATTTCGTTTTTCTTTCTGTTCACTCCGTCGTACACTGAAAACTCGAGGGTTTAATATTTTGAAAGAATTTAATTCGTCGACTCGATTAGATCTCGTTAGCGATAGTATAAACAAGGTAATCAGAATGTTTGGACTTCTCATGTAAATTCTATGCCTCGAACCGAACCCTGTTAACCAGTTGCCGAAGCAGGACTAGTTACTTGGGAATTAAGTGATCCCTAGTAGACAGGCGCTCACGGAAATTCCGTAACAGTACAATTATAGCGGTTGTCAGCAGTCTCGACTGTGAAACAGCTAAGCACATATTAATTCGCCTGCATACGATGGAACTTTGACTCTAGCAGGGTGATCAGAATCGAAAATTACCGACCATCTCTCGTTTCCCATCTATTCTCTTCCACCCCGTAAGTGTAACGAGTTCTACGCGAATATCACCGACAAATTCGTTTTAATTTCTTTATCGAATAAAATAAAGTTCTGTTATTAAAGTAAATTTAATACGTACGAAGGACGATGTACGATGTACGATACAGGACAAAACAAGAAGATAGCGATTGCTTCGTTTTAGCCATTAATGCGAAGTTCATCTTCTTTTCGGTCTGGCTAAAAATTTTAGTCGTCTCGAGCATCTCGCTTTCAACGCTGTCGGCGACACCATGAAAGCATCTTTCCTGAGATCCGTCTCCACTCCTGCAGGCCGTTCAACCGGCTTCGCTAGGATTAGCGTCCTCGGGGAAGCTGCGAAATTAAAGACCATGCATCCTTCGCTCTAACGTATTTCGCTTAAGGCGAAACAAACGACTCGAACGAGTATTAATTTAGCCGGCGACATCGCGTAGCTTGCCAGTAGAAAAATCCTCCTTTAGTCAGACGCAACGTTAATTCGGAAAACTTACGCTATCATTTTTCGTTTCATCGGCTTACTTTTACATTCCGAAATTCTCTGACTAAGCGTATATATTTTCACTGCACCACTCGAGGTGTTAAATATCGTAGGATTCAGTTTGGTTGACGCAACAAATTAGGTGGTCTGAAACTTTTGGCCGGCAGTGTATCTCGTGAAAGTACGAGGTTGCCTGCTAACGAGGAAATTTTCTAGGCAAACGAACCTTTGCTGACTCGAATCGGTCGAAGATCCAGTAGAAAATTCTTGTTTGTTTGTAAGCACAGATCGACTCGCCGGTATGAAACAGCACGTTCTTCGTTCGACCGTTTAATCGTGGAAAATATCGTTTTAATTACTCTTTGCTGAAAGCGGCGCGCCGTGCTGCGCTGACTCGACACGCGAGCGAAATTGAAAAGCGATTCTCGACTAGGAAATCAGTTAAATCCCTTGAAAACTTTCCTGCAGACTTTCGACGAGCGATCCCGTTTAACGCAGACCTTTTCGCAAACCAAAAGGAATTTTTCCCGTAAGCTCGCGATACTGGTTCGTTCAAGCGAACGGGTTGAGTGGTAAGTTTGACGAAGGAAAGACGAACGATAGGTGTAAGTCGAGAATTTCTCATCGAAACGAATGAAACGATTACTTTGGTTCGTTAACGTTCACTGTACCTACGGCTTCCAACGCAGCTGGAGAAACAGCTCCTGGCATCCGGGCCGAGCCAGCACCCTCTAGTTGTCTCGGTTGTGAAATTTGGTCAAGACGTTTAGTGATCTTGTAAGTAAGAGCAGTTATAGGTACGGTGAATGGATCCTTGGGAGGTGGCATCTCCCTCATCGATGGCACCGACAGTTCTTCGATTCTCCGCATGTTCACTGGCCTCCATCTTCTTCTTTTAAACTAGAATTTATCGCTTCCTGTATCGATTTACGTCGAAACGAACCTTTGTAAATTTTACCTACAGGTAACTTAGGTATTGGCGTCTCCTTTGGAGTAGACAATCTGTCAAGAATCTCCAAGTGTCGATCCCAGTCTTCCGGTTTTATCGCTCGACGCAATTTCGCCATTATTCTTTGTCTGTAACGAAAGATTGCGTTTGAAAACGAGAAGGAAAGTTAGTCTATTATCGAGCGAGGGTATAAAAGAAATGAGAAAGTTATTTCATTTTCACACTGTACCAACAGTTTGCGGTGGTGGATGCCAGGAATAATGCTAAAAGGGTTCCAATAGAGAACGAGGATAAAGCAGTATGCGCTTCTACTTGTTCGGCAAATTTCTAGACACCCTTGGGCACTATTAATAATTACATTCAGGGTACTCGTGTCTGCTAACTGTTCGCGAATTGCATACCAAGTTTAATAGTGACGTTGGGCAGCCATGAAAATCGGCAAAGTGGATAGCCAATACTATTCGTTCCCTTTGAATTCAATCAAATTCACGACAAAGGATCAACTCGACCGTCTGTCTAACAAATTTTTCAACGCGATAAATTGATTGCGAATTTTTTCAGTCGTTCAACCCTGTAGTTTATTAATTGAGCTATTTTCTTTTTTACTCTGTTTTAAACGCATACGCGAAGTTGAAATATAATTTCCAATTATGTGCGTTGTTTACACATTACATTCTTTGTTTTTAGCGTCAATTAATCGTTAAATTACCATTCGCTTTTAAAGATACAAAACAAAAACTCGTGGTTATTATACGTCAGCGAGGTAATAAAAAATAATTGTTACATCGAATGTTTTAAAGATCGCTTTTTGAATACATAAAAAAATCCAAATCCAATTTTAAGAACTCAAAGTGTTCGAAAGACGATCCGATTACGATTTCATAATCCGTCCCTTTGAATTTTTCAACAAGATCGTCTTCTTTTCCCGTTCTGCCCTTTGAGATGTCGCTTCTTTTTATCAAAAAGGCTTCTTTTTATCGCGCACAAAGCCGCAAGAAGTAAACGTTTGCAATGTCGTCGCGTTACTCACTTCCTCTTCATTTCACGTTGCTTCCTGGCGTTGCAGAAGAATCGATATCTTCGGTACCGCGAGTTTTGAACCTTCCATAGGGTCTCGGCCAAGTTGTTGCTCATCGAAGAGTAGCCCATGTTCGCCACTACAAATCTGATCGAGGAACGGGCAATTCGTTAATTCTCTTCCACGGTCTGGTTCGTTTTCTCGATGGTAGAATGATCACCTCTTTTTCGGAAGCGCCAGATCATTGATGCGTTTACTGACTTTTGCTTCGAGTGTCTTTGGATGAATTCGCGGATAGGAGGGCGGTGCTCTTCTAGGAGAAAGCGAAATTTGTTTGATTTCATCGGGATACCAATTGCACGTCTATTACTCACGTTGAATCGTATTTTTTGCTGACATGTTTTGGCCGCGCCATGACTCTGATTCTTTTCGAAGCTCGAGCTTTCAATGCCGTACGACTAATGGTAAATGGGTTTGCCTAGTAACATACGGTGATTACTCTGCTTTTATTATTTTCTTTAGAATTGTTTAATCATCGAACCGCATTCCTTCTCAGATTTCACTCACCAACGCGTGCACTTCCTTCCTTTGGACCCTCCTCCAATTCGGTTGTGCCAGCATAGAGATGTGTTGCTTCGGCGATAAATGATCCATCGCGTATTTGATCCTATCGCCCATCCTGCTTGCCATTTTAACTTTTTCTTATTTATTCTCAGCGACGACGATTTGTGAATTGTTTAATTAGTCGAAGGAGGAAGTGAACCACCAGCGTAATTTATCAGGGCAAAATCTGAATATCTAACCCTTAATTTGGACGATGCAACTCTGACCGTGGATCGCGTTGGAAATCAATGGACGTCGCGGGGCCAGAAACAAAAGAGAATTTCAATTCGATCGCGTTTCTATGAACGCTTTAAAGTTTACTCAACGATTTCGTCAGGCGAAAAGTTTCCAGGAAATGTTGGACAATGCATGAGAATCGGCATAAACAAGCTCTTTATTCTTAGTCTGTTTGTTCCATCCGATTGTAGTCGAAGAACGGCGTCAAAAAAGCTCCTTTTACCGATATGTATGTTGATAATAAAAACGTTCGTGAACTTTACGAGGAAACATCGTTATTTACGCAACAATGATCACGGCGCGACATTATTTGGACCGAATCGTGGAAACAGTGATACGAAGCATGCAGGATTTTCAATTAATAATGCTGACGCGTTGAATAAATACGGTATTCCCTTGGCGAGACCGTGTCGCCTATTATTCGAACGGTAGAATTACTACTTCATTTGCAGTTCATATTTCACGACATTGATCGCGTGTTTCTATTGAGTTTGCTCGACACAAGTTTGATTATCGCGTACTCGATTTATTTAACAAGTTGACAGCTGCCCGATAATACGAGCGACGACGCGGGTATATTTTTCATGTTAAATTGTTTCTTAACTACATCTTACCAAGGGAGTTGTTTCGATGTATCGTGAAAGGTGGAAAGAAAGACGAAAGCACAAAAGCGAAGCGTTGAGCAAAAGCGAGGCAAAAGGAAACGGGGTTCGAAGCAATATCTCTTTTTTTTCTGCTAGATTCGATTAAGTAGCAATTTTGTGGATTGGAAATCGGTATTTCAGGATACAAGAAATATGAAAGAATAGCAGTAGATCTAATTTCGTGCTCGATTCGGACTTGCCACATTACGGACAAAAGCTCTCCCGATGAAGATCTCTTAAGGGACATCCGGGTTGGTTTTATTCGTTTCCATCCGTCTACGAATGTGGACCACTCACGAATCTTCTCTCTTTTTCGACTCTCACCCTTTCCTCGTTTTCTCTCGCTCCCTGTTTCTTTTTCTCTTTTTCCTCTTTCGTTCCGGCCTTATCCGAGCCCTCTTTTTTCTCGGCTGTCTTGCTTCTTCCATCGCGTTTCCTTACTCTGTCAACCCCGCATGGGAAATCTCAAATACGAGTTTGTATACCTGGCACTTGAAATCCCGGTGGATATCGATGATAAGATTTTACTCCGACCTTACCCTTCTACCAGGCTTCATCAACCGGTTCCCGCCTCTTTCCAACTAACCTCGTTGGATAACTACTATATCCTTGCGGGTTTAACGGCTATGCGATACACGCGATACACGCGATACCGGGACTGCGCTGAAAATATATCATATTCGGCAGTGAGTTATGCCTGCTGTACACTCGGATCCACCAACACGTAGAAATTTCACCGGCAAAAACGTAGCTCTGCTATTGTGACTCGGCGAAAAGCCAGCTACCGAGTGAACACGGAGGCGTTAATAAAAATTTTTCTTTCCTTTCTTTCCTCTGTCAGCTCCACCATATTTCTCCACCCTCTCTTCTGAAATTCTTTCTGTTTCTTATCTAGTTTCAACATTTTGGAGATTCTTCCCTTTTGTTTTTTTTTCTTCTTTCCGCTTCTTCTGTTTTATTATTCTGATACTTAGTTTTTCTTCTTCATTTTCTTAAAAAATTCTTCTTCTTTTGCATCCTCTCCTTTGTGTTTCACTCCGTTTACAAAGTGTTTCCAGCGACGAGAACCTGTTGTTCTCTGAACTTCAAAGAAATTACGTTTTCTTCCCTCCGTTGAGTTTGAAAAGGAGGAAATAAAGGATCTTGCGAGAAGAATGGGAGATCGAAGGGATTTTTAACAACCTGCCCGTTCGTTTAATTTTCTTCTGGTGCAATTTTTCGCGCTTTAACCACCGCAAAGCTGAGGTGGCTGGTCCTGAATCCAAAACAGTTTGGATATACGAACACGAAAGGTAACGCGGCCCGCTGGATAAGCCGACGTTTCTAATTAAATTTTAATTACGGCTCACGAGACAAACGAGTTATTGGCTTTGGCCAAAGGAAGTCTCGTTATTAGCGACCACTCTTCCGGAAATCATTGTTTCGCGTGCCCCTTGGAATCGCCGTAATGCTAACAAAATGAAGGTTATTTCGCAGAAGAATCGTTGATAATAATTTTCGAGAGATAAACGTATTACCTCTGTCGAATATATTTATCTCTGATATCAACTGAAAAAGGAGAAATAATAATTAAACGTGTAATTAAAGAGAAATATGTATTTGTTGGCGTTATTAAAGTTTCTATGAATGATAAGCTCGAAAGTTTTTTTATTGGATTCGCGTTTGATGAGGAAGTTGCGTTATTATAGAGCACCCCACGGTACTCTGAAATCGCTGGGCTAATCCGATTTTAGGTCGAGAATAGGGAGAAGCTTTCCGTATCTGTATCGTAGACGTAACCTGGAAGGTGCACAAGTGTTCTGCCGTGAAGTGTTATCACGCTAGACCACTGTGAGCTTATCTCCTTCATTGAGATTGGTAGATGTACCGTTCCAATTGTCTGTAAATCTATATCGACTCGATTACTCTCGAGCTTTCAGCGCACTACCATTCTCGGTGCTATCAGGCACGATTGCAAGCTGTAACACGAACAAAATTATACTATAAATCCGTGAAACTAAAACATTGCTTCGAGAACGCGAAACCGCTTCCACTCGCAAAATACAATTTAACTGCTTTTATTTGATTATCAGCCAAGAAGACTTCTTATATGAAACGTCCAAACAGTTTCTCCGAGGAATTAACTTTGAAAATTATTTCTACTTGGAATATCATTTCGCAAGAAGAAGAAAATCTAGAAATTCGAGCGTATTTATAATTAGCCAACCCTTTCGTAAGCTTTATGTTTTAATGGTTATTGTGTACGATTCCATCCTGCAAATGTTCGAGTATCTTGAAAGTCTCGACAGTTCCAATGAATTTCAAAGATTTCCTAGCTTCGAGGATCGAGGAAATCTTAAGAGCCTTTAAACGCTGGAATTACTTAACAGCCTTCGATATCATGGAAATTTTCAACGATATTCTGCGCAAGCTCGCGCAAATCTACAATAATTACACTGTTTTTAATGCTTGCTGAAACGTTCTTATAACTTTCGCTCTTCCTTTGGAAGTTTTCAACTTTTCAAGCCGATTAACCATCGATACTTGTTCAACTTTTCCAATTACAATTTCTGTCTTAACTCTCGACAACGAGTGATTGTTGTACCATTTAGCAAAGTAACGTTTGCCATAATTTCACGAAACCGATCGCAGCAGGAGAAGATGATAAAAACGCAAAGTTTCGAAGCAACTTGAAGCCTGCTTTTCAACCCGTCGCAGTCAGTTATCGCCGGCGACTTTATCCGACAAAACTGGCGGCGGAAGCGGAGATACGTGCTCTCTTACAGCCACGAAAATTATATCGCGGAAGCAAAGTGTCGGACGTGAGAAGGGGTGCGAGCTTTTGCAAAGTTGGCGGACGCCGGAAACGCGGGGTAACGAGCTGAGATAGCTGCGCTTTCCAGCAAGTTTTCGCGAAATTTTGTAGTCGACCCCCTGTTGTTCTCACTGTTGCGAGCACTCCGCTACGGCAAGATAACGCCGCAGCACGCTACTTTTCAGACAGACGAATTCTTCCCGTTAATAATTTCGAAGAGCTTGGCGCCACTTATTCTATCCCCGCATCGAATCGGTTAATCCGTAAACTACCCACTCCAATACGACCTGTCTCCTATTTCCTTGACTATTTCTACTGAAACACGCTTTGCCTTTATCTCTTTAACTTCGTATCTTTCGGATACAAAGATGAAAACTTATAGTTACAACAGATTCTCCTTCTTCTTCGTTCTATCGAAGAAAATAGAATCATAGTAGAATTATTTATTCTCGCCTGTCGTTTATACGATACCATTTTCTGTAAAAATATTAGTTTTATACAAATTAATTATGCTAAAACGAGCTAGCTATCGTTATCGTCGTTTCAGCAAAAAGATATTACATACATATTTTACCACGTACACGTTACAGGTAAACGAATCCTGCAACGTAGACAGGATTCACCAGAAATTGGGGTGTATGTACGTTGATCCTCGAATTTTTCATATTTACTTTTATGATTTTGCATGGAATATTTTGTAAATAAATGTTTATATTCCTATTAATTACTACACCCAGAATGAATAGCGTGAATGTATGTGAAAGGCAAAATGTAACCATCAGTATTTTTGATTAACAGATTATTTGACGTTATATTGCGTGTACGCCATTAAACGAAATTGATAACATTTCGTTCGTATTTAAATAGATTTTATTTCAATCTATTGAGAAATCTTTAAGGAGTGTGTAGTATTAACTATGTAATTACATGAAAAACTAGCAAAAACTCGACCAATTTTGCGACTGCCTACCCCCACCACTTCTTTATGGAACAGGTTGGGGGAAGGGGCACAGCGAGAGTATAAATACGGTGGCACCTACCCAAGGAGATCAGTCTAGTTCGGCTCTTCGTAAAGGAGGGCTGCTGTTTTTTGACTTACTATTTTTAAAATCTTCTTTAATCAACTTTGTAGATCCAAACCCCTTGATACTACTTGTAAATTATTGTTCTATAATTACTGCAATTTTTGACATATATTGATAATTACTTATTCAATTGAAGGGTATAGAAAGCTGCATTGTTCCACATCAATTATGCAATTGTCATATATGATTGTTAATTATGCTCAAACCCATATATTGCTGTATTCTTATTAATTTCGAAGAGTTTTTAATTACTCGCGAAATTTCGTATGAATCATTTTAAATGCCGAACAATAGTTTTGGCTTTTAAACTTTCTTTGCAAAGGATTTAATTTCTTTGTAAATAAAAAGAATACTATTTCTGAATGAATGTCATTGTGCTCCAGATTTACATAGAATTTTCTTATCGTTAAAAAGAGATTACTTTATAACACCATTTATTTCTGCTTCATGATATTACGAGATGACGTGTAAAACATATCATTGGTGCAATTA